AGTCAGCCATGTGAATTATTTGAACCGCATTCGAGGTATGCTATGTTTAATCTGGGTCTCTTTGCATTGTTGTTCACACTGCTGATGATGGAAATCATTTTTTAAAACTTGGGAAAACCCCTGATATTGATTATCTGAGATTAAGTGGGCTTTTTGGTAACCCCCTCCAAACTGATTCAGGTGCATTTGGGGTGTGTGTGAACAAAAGGGATTCAACTTGAATCCATCCTGGATTATTTTCACTATGTGAATAGCCCCTTAGACACTCAGGAACCATTCAGCTGTAGCCAGATTGAAAGATCAACTGGGTCTCTGGTATACATGTTGGAGATTTTGAAAGGGAAAATTGTATACACTTTAGTGCAAAAGAGTAGTTGGGTGTTCCCAAGCACCACCAGTGATTTAACAGTTGAAGGAGTGTGGCCCTCAAATTCAAGCAGGCGTGCACACCCAGCAAGGTGAATCTGCACAGGCAGATTATTACGTTCTGCCCAGTACAATGCAGAATCTTGGCCATAGTGTTTTGCAAGTGAGTTTTATTCTGGTGTCCACACTGCAACACAAAGTTTCAAAATCCCAATCTGGGAGATGGCACTAGAAGCACTTAATGACCATAGGAATGAGAAAACAGGAAGTTCTATAAACCCCTTTGGTATAGGCACAGATCTAGGCAGTGTCACATAATATTCAGGTAAAAACCCCATAATATCAAGAAGATGGTATTCTGACACACTGCTATTAAGTTCCCTGAAGCAGAAAATGGTGGGAAAACTGGGGTGGGGCTCAGGCACTACTGTGAAGATTCCTGTGGATGAAAAAAGTGATAGGAAAATGGGAGAGGGCTCTCAGAGTTCCTGGCAACATTCCTGGTGTTTAAAAGAGATGTGTATGTAAAATAGAAGGCCCATGGATCCCTGGGGGATGGGGGCAGGCATAAGATCCAGAACTGGACAAAACTGGGCAGCAGATAGAAAGCAGGAACAGAGTCTCTGAAGTACTGTTCCTAAGATTCCTGAGGCAAGAAGAACATGTGGGGAATGTAAGGGCTAAGCCACTACTTCTAAAGATTATAAAATATTATAAAGATGATAAAATTCCAATTTTATTAAAAACATAAACTAAATAGCATTAGATAACATTTTTGAAGCATAAAAGGGAGCAGGAATGTTACAATAAGTGGTTTTGATTGGTTTTGATATCAAGACCTCTTATGGATTCCTGTCATGGCCCTAGGCTGGAAAGAGCCTTCATAGCCATAAGCTCAAGGTGAGCACATCACGTAGGCACTCCAAACATCTGTTTTTACAATCATTTGCAGATCAAAAAGGCCAGGCTTAGGAGCTGCAAAAGAGG